TTACTGTTCCTTGTAGATAGAACTTATACTAGTGTTGCATAGAACTCGTAGGAAAACATATGTAAAAAAAATTAATTAATCTAGCTTAGTAATTTAGCATGAATAAGACATACTTATATTATACAATACATGCAAGTCAAAATTATGTACATTTTTTAGTCAATATACGTGTCCGTGTTGGCGCGCAATTAATTTCCTTGCGTTTAGCTGGTTTATTACTATTATTTTTTTAACAAGGCATGCATGTTAACAATATATAAGTGTAGCACAGTTTTATTAGTTGTTTATTGATTTTGAGTACATGAAACAATAATAGTTAACAGTAAAACGACATGTTTGCATCATATATAATTACATAATATAGTTTACTAACTTAGTCAGTTTAATTTTTCTAAAAAAAAAAATACAATAAATGATAATAAAAATAAATATCGTTTTAGCGATATGTTTGTATTCAAAATAAATAAATAATGAAGTACGATCGATATGTGTACGTTACACTTATAGCTATAAATTATTATATTAGGTTTTTATAAACTCAACTATCAAGCTATTCAAATTATATTATAAAAAAATAGTAACCTTCATACATTAAACTCAACTATCAAGCTATTCAAATTATATTATAAAAAAATAGTAACCTTCATACATTATAAGTACAGCTAAAAACTGCATTGCCAAAAACTGACCTAACCCAATTACAAATATCTTGTCTATGCGAATCAATGGTCAAATCTAAATAAATCAATAAAAAACCCTTTGAGTTTCTTTTGAGTTGTTATCGAGCTCATTAAAAATAAGTTGGTACAAGTAATTTTTTTCAGAAATTGATATTATTGGTTTAAGTGACCATCAAAGTTCTTATAACAAAAAAAGAAAACAGTATATTGGACCCAGAGTTTGCCTATTGTTTTGTATAAGCATAAGGAAAAGTGTCACCACGACACAATTATTATGAGATGGCACTCGTTTAAATCTCAAATTAAGATATATATATATATTTTTTTTAATAGAAAATAGTTGAATATATTATTGTGATTAATAAAAAAAATGTACCGACTGTAATACTCGACGACTATGTACTACAGTGTTTGGGCAAAGACAAACCGAATAGAAACATTAATATAATGTGTAATTTATTGAAATAATATCCGTCGCGTCTCGCCAGCGCATCCGGACCGGTTTTCGTACACATACAAATAAGTGTATTATATTATTATACATTTGAGTGGACTGAAAAACAGGATTAGCTGCTTTTTGGACAATATAAAATGAAATAAGTAACTCGATTAGATACACACCGGCGACCGATTTTTTCGGCCGCACACGTTTGATATTTTCGATCATTTTTTTTTTTTTAGCGAAACGGACGATAATTTCACTTTTACCAGAATCTTCATCGTTTCAACAGTAAATTTGTATACATGTTTGAGTTGGCAAAAAAACAAAAAAAAAAACTTTCCTCGCAGAGTTCACCGGCCTCGCGGGAAGCATCCGATTGTAAAGGGGATGTAACCCGGTACTTAATATTCATGTACAATAAATATTACCCATATAGATGTGAGTAATAAAATCGAAAACTAATTACTACTTAAATAAAAATAAAAACTTTAATATGATTTACGGTCGTGTAGTGTGTGTTTTGTGCACGTCGCATGTGCGTTGTTTTTTTTAATGATATTGGGTAAAAAAAAAATGTTCTACCGTTTAAAACCAATAAAAAAAATAAAATACTAGTCGTTTACGACTTTATATACTATATAATATATACCTATATGCTTAACGCAGTCATCTCAAACGCGTTATAGATCAATTTTTTTTTTTATACAGCATTTATAGTATCCCATTAACTCGGTCGAAAACGTCCGTGAGTACAAATTAACTTTTATTTATAATAATGTAAGCACATAATATTTACATATATAGGTTTACTGCACGGGCACGCGACATTTTACCCATCAAACCGTTGGAAAGTGCAATTTTATAGATTTCGAGAAAATACAAACGGTGAATAATACACACAAAAAACAATTAATAGGCAATCAATTAAGTATGTTGGAATTTAAATTAAATGTGTGCATAACACGAAAAAAAATACATTGTAGGTCCAACTAAAATTATGGTTAATAAAGCGACACAATACATTTCTAGTTGGAATTACTAAATAATATATAATTGGTCAACTAAATATTTAGTTGGCCGAACTAAATGTATAGTTGCTTTTACCAACAATTTAGTTGGTCCAACCATTTATTTAGTTATTTCTATAGTTCATAACGAGAAATGTATTGTGTCCTTATTTTAACCATGATTTTAGTTGATTGTAGTTTGTATTTTTTTTTCTGTGTACACAACTAAAATAGTATTATAAAATGTATTAAACAATTTATAAAGTTTTAATTTGAAACCCGTATTGGGAAAAACAGACAAAACAGGACAACGGTAAGAAAATTTGTTAAATGTTTAGAATTAATCATGATTTGTTGTTATTTAATAAGTTGATTAAAAAAGTAGTACATCAATAGTTAATTCGCATAACAAGTACAAATCGTTGTTTGATTATTAAAAAATACAGCTGAATCGTCAAAGAGCATGTTATTAAGATTTGATTGAATTAAACTCTAACTCTATTATAAGGCTTATGGTATGTATGTATCCAATCTCTGTATGACTGTTGCAGTAAATATTGGAAGCAATTGAATTTATTTGAAATTGAAAGATTTTGTTGCAAATTTTATAACAAATTTTGTTTTTGAGATTTTTAATTAACGACAATTGATTAAGTACCTAAAAAAACATATTGACTTTGGTTATAACAAATTGTTTAATTGCATAAACGTTGTACCTACTTCAAGGTAGTTCAACATAAAATATTGGTGTTTGGTTTATTATGTTTTTATGCTTACCATAGTTTTCACTGCACTGAGAAAAAAGTTAGTTTATATTGTTTTACGCATATTTCAAAATATAAGACAAACAAATAAAATGTATAAGAAAGCGGGTTTTTTTTTATTATTATAGTACAAATTGTTTGTAACTTGGACTCGGACTCGGAGGCGTCGAACTTATAAGTTTTAATGACAAGAGACTATAGATGAAATAGGCGGGAGCTGTGTTGTACCGACAATTACTTGATAATGAGTAAAGAGACATAGAGAGAGTGGATAAAAAACGAGGAGAAGACCATATTAAGATGTGCGAAACAACGAATATGATATATACCTATATTAGTTGAGTGAAAAAAAATTGTATGCTTATAATAACGAACATTGATTTGGAACAAAATAACATATTTTTTCGTCCAATTTTTCTCGAATTAATTTGGGGTTCGCTTTAAGACAATTTTTTTGTTTTTTTTGTAATAGAAAAACAGTTTAAATAAGTAGTTAATTAATTAATATCAAAACTCGATGTGACGATAAAATTTCTAATAAAAAAAAAACCATTTTAGTTTATAAGTTAAAATTAACTTCACTTAAACTAATTAACGCTTTAGCGCTCAACCTCTTGGCTCTTTGGGTGGCTTTTTATGTGCAAAAAATAAATCTAAGTTTCAGTACGTAGTAGGAAGGTATAAATGGACAGTTTTTTAATTACTAGGTGGACTAATTTTGGTTTTTATAACAATGTATCGCTAAGAGTATGCAAAAAATAAGGATTAATATATAATAATATCATATGTCTCCTGCACGAGTTTATTTTTAATTATTAGATTAATTATTTGGCTTACATTGAATAAAGAAATAAGATTTTTTTAAACACAAATATTGACATATGTTTAAAATATCAAAAAAATTGTTTTTGAAAGGGCATAATTTAAGTACTTTTCGAGTTAAGAACCTATTTTCTATCTCATTTTTGTTATAGCTGTACTTGAAAAGCAAAGGGTCATTTTTTGTATTATTAATTAGCCTTTATTAAAAAACATTATCGCTGAACGATTACACGCTAATTGGTATATAAGATATTATATAATGACGCCAACTTAAAAATTCCAGTAAATACAACAATATGAATAATTTAACAAAAACGTTATCCATCAAGTATTTATTATTTAAAAACCCAAATACTTTGCTAATAAACATGTATAATTACATAAGATAATAATATCTCTGAACTGAGCTGTTTTATATCTAATTCTTAAAAATTGTCTATACGCCTAATACATATTAGGTACATGATGAGACGAGGCAGACCAACTTTAATGTAGGAAACTTAATTTCTACAGTTTTCATACAAGACAAAAACGATATGAAATATTCTAAGGTTAGTCACAATTAGTGTTATAATATTATGTGCTGGACACAGTGCACGAATTGGGTGGCGGGGGGGGGGACTGAGTATCCCAACAATTTTTTCAGGAAACGTAGCATACCCGGATTTTTAGGGGTAAACAATATGCCGAGTATGCTCTTTTAAGTAAAAACTTCCCCCTACTTTTATTTTTTTCCAATTCGAGCACCGGTTGTACATGAACCAAAATAACCTTCTAGGGTAGTAAGGTGGGAGGTGGACCAGAAGGGTATTCAACCCTTTTGGCTTTACGTGTTATACGAATGCCGTGGCCGAACATACTTTTAATTCGTTCAATGGGAACGGCGGAAAAGCGGACGCATATAGGCCTTCGACAACAATGTTTTTATCAAGGCAGTCTCTATGGATCGTTCGTTTAATTAGTATTAATAATATACAATACAGTTTCGACCCCGGCGTTAGCTGTTATGGCGTAATTAAAACACATGTTATATTATTAATAATGAATATTGTAATGTTATATTTTGTTGTGCAGCGTAAAAATAAATACCTTCATCGTAAAAATTCGTGACAAACGTGTTTGCGGCAACAATGTGGCGGATAGGAAAATTAAATAGTGTGATTACTTTTTTTTTTTTTTTAACTTAAAAATAATTAATAATTATACAAAAGAAAAAACACTCTAGATATATTATATACAAACACACTCACACAAACGAAATGAACAATAAAATTAATATACGTACTGTAGTTGTAATATATAGTATTATCGATGGTCGTGAGTAAAATTTGTTTTAAAACCGAAAAAAATAAAAAGATAGTTTGGTAATTAGATGTCGATTGGCTTGGATAGTTGTTAATTATTGAACGATAATTTTGTGTTGCGTTCGGGCCGGGAGAGCTGCAGAGCGGCGACGATGGTGTGTGCGCGACGTGCGACAACGCGTGTCTGCAGAGCGTGTGTGTGCGGTTCGCGTAATGTGCTAACGGCGACGGGCACACGGTGCGCGCCAAAAAACAAACGATCCGCGTACCGGACACGTGACCATCGACGACGGACTGAGCGGAATAATGTAATTGTTGCGCGCCGCGACCCAATGAGACGACGACGACGGCGGCGGACGCGAAAATCTCCCCACCTGCTCGCCGGGCTGGTCCACACGTACGGTATTCTCTCCGTGCCGGATCGCGAGTCGCGACGCCGAGATGGAGAGGGCGCGTGCCGGCACGGCTATCGCGAGTGTACGCGGCCGTCGATGGCGTTCTTCGGCGGCCGGCCGCGTTTCCGTGCAGAACGCCATAAGGGTACGCATCTATAGGTATCATCGTGTACCCGTAAATGAAAAACGTTACCGCCGCGGCCACCGACATACGCCGGTGACGTCATTGCCTGCCGAATAATCGATCTGACGTCACGGCCGTGCCATCGGCGTAACGACCTTTTGACACGTCATCGTCGTTGTACAACGGCCTTTGTTTTGCCCTAGGGCTGTCAATTCGGTCACTGGCCGTTGTCCGAGTGCGATTGCCGATAACCGTTTGGATTTACTGCGGCCGACCTCGGGAAAACGATAATTGAATAACTAATAAAGACGAAAGGTTTCGGAAAAGTCACATAAAGTATTGTGGATTTTTTTTTCACCGAACTACCTGGGTACGCTTAGGGCAGTTCGCGCTGAATAATTGATTTTTTCACATTGCGCGGTCGTACTGTATTTTCGACGAAAAGGCTAACCGTCGAAAATGGACACCGAAAACACACATTGGAAAATGTCATCGGCGCGACTAGGACGGTCCGCAGACAAGTGTTGGCCACCGATAAACTTTCATAATACATTTATGATAACACAAGACAATACATATTATGTTGTATAGGTCAATTGTCCAATAGCAATATTTGCAAAGGTCGATTTTCGGGTGTTTCGGGAGGGGGGAGGTTTTTTTTGTTAAGTTTATCAAACGACTCGACTGAAAACAAATAAAAAAACTTGTTTTTTTTTAATAGCAATTAGGGGTTGCTTAAGTCCACCTCGACTCGTCGTGGAAAATCTACGAACAATTTTCGAGGTGCATATTTGTACGAATACAAACATTAATTTGGTTCTGGTTTTTTTAGTGATTTTCTGTGCTCGAGTTAACTAGGTTTATGTAGTCTTGGTGGTTGGAAGCAAATATATAATTTTTCAGAGCATTTACCTACTTCTATAACACCACACACATATTTGCCGCATTATTCGCTAAAATACATTGCGATGCTCATGCCGTACCTCCATTCGTTGTCCCTATAGACTCCTTACTAATCATGAGAATAATTACATTTTACAACTGCACCATCATCCACAGCAGAATCGAATAGACGAGGTAATTATATCTATACTTGTAAAATATGTGTTTTAATAACAAGCTGGCGTTTTACTGTAAGCGTGAAGTACATAATAATAATAATATTGTTATTATCCGCGCCAGACGTATTTATAGGCGTTTCTTGGAAGTTTCCACATGAAATACCCTAATAGGGGCTAAGGAGGTGTTGTCTTTAATTTTTCTCCGTCTCGTTTGGTAATTGCCCACGTGGCACATGTGTTCGTCAGAAGTCCGGCCTTACGTAATTCTCATACAGGCAAACCGTTTTTTCTTTCTTTTCAATGCTGTCTTAACTAACGTCAAGTGGTAACCGGGCAGCACACTTTCTGGGAGTGCACCGTGCTAACTGCAAACGACTTAACCGAACTTTAATATTCAACTCGTGGCACAAGTCCGGCGATATGAATATCAAAGATACCAGTATACAACGAGACTGCATACCGAAGTAATGCATACAGTAACTTTCGGCTGATTTCATTTTGGCTCCCCTATAAAAAAACATTTGGCGTTGTGTGCGCACTCGCACAAACATGTTATTTTTCTTTTTGACCACCGGGAAAAAAATATCTTATATCTGCTGTATACTATTACCTACCTACAACAGAGTTTACATTACTACGGTGTTTTAATATTAAACGCTTAGCGTAGTTTGCCGAGTCGACCGAACCGAGCACTATGGAGTATAATAGCCGTGTAATATTTTATAAGCGTTTATGGTGACCCGCAAAGGGGGTGCAAAGACCGGGGGCGTGGGTCAGATTAAATAATTTACGATTGGAAATTTACGACCTCGTTCCCCGCCACCGTTGTTGGGCCAATGTCGTCCGGCCAGCTTAGGTGTATAATAGTAATATAATATTGGAAAAACGTTGTTATATAGACATTACATTACTTTAGGGCTATTTTCGGATTTCACCGTCAAAGGATACAGAAAAAAATGGACTTTTGGTAGCTTAAAAAGCGCAGCCGCATTTGTCTTCTTCTTCTTCTCCGTCTCGGGCATCAGCTTATCCCGTACAAAATATGACAGAGGGAACAGAACAGCGACGTGTATTTTGGGATAAATCAGTTAGGTACCGTTAGTTATATATGACTTCAACGTTAACGACAAAAGCTCGAAAAAGTTCAAAGTACTAGTTATATGGCAGGGATCCGCAGTGTTTGTGTTTAATGTTATTGTTTGTATATTAATACAGGTATAAGCAAAACAATGTTACCCCTCCGTTTACACACGGTCGTGTGCCAGTTGGTTTTGCCGAACAGTTAATTTTTTTATGACTGAATATTTGTAGTACGATATTATCATGGTGGACCGGTTTCCGACAGTGTCGTCGTTTTGTGTTCCTGCAGACCGTAAATCAGCAGCAATATTGTCGAAATGTTCGGATTTCTTCTCCAACCGTGTGTTCCTCTTATTTTATTACTATTATTTCCGTCCAGCTCGACGTCCAAATCGTCTTGGTCGCCTCATACAAGTAGGGCACACATAAAGTATATTCGCATAATGTATACATATATTATAATACTCTACCTGCGTTAACGCCGCAATTTCATTGCTTATGAAAAATAATGTACACGGTCAATGACTTTTCCTTCTTTCTCTCTTATGTAAAATACCGTTTAAAATTGTCTGTTAATTAAGACTGCAAATAGATCAATCATCTCAAAAGATATTTGTTCGAAGACGTACGGTATCACATAATGGACTCTGTATAGTTATAAAACAAATTTTGTCGAATAAAAAAATAAAATTCATAACTCATAATTCTGCGAGCTCACACTGTTAACACCTGATTTATCTCTTACGTGAAGTGTTAGTGCAAACTGATGGTATAGCAAGCCTCTTTTATGTCTGTTGACGGAAAAGTAAGGGATAAGAATGTAAAGTAATGATACTTTTGGGTTGTATTAGGAGAAATTGTAAAAAAAATTAATGAAATGCTGATGACAAGTCCTCTACCATGTTCTTATAGCTCGAAAATTAACAATAGTTGATTGATTAGTTTGAAAAAATCTAAAGAAGTTTCTTAAGAAAGGAAAATTTTAAACCAAAATCAAATCTAATAGATGTAGTTAGGTTGGAATAATTTATATTTTTGCCATGACGTTGTATCGCAGTATGCACAAACATTTAAATAATAAAATCGACGGTCCAGCGCTTTTAACACTGATTAAATTTTAAATCCCAACTCTCGTAATGCACGTCGCTATCAAAATTCGTGTGAACTGTCATTTCTAAATAATAATATGTGATATAGTTTAGTAAGTGGTATAAATAGTAGTTAGCTAAAATTTGATTTTTGTTTAGTAAAATTAAAACTGATAATGTATTGTAACAATATATAATAAGCTATAACTAATTGTACTTTTTCCATAGAATAATTTTACTTATGATTATTATTTGTATCGAATTTTAAATCTAATAATTATATCCACCAAACTTGTAATTTTATTATATTATATACCATATAAATTGCTGCTAACTCAATGCATAAAAAAATTATCAAGGATTCTCAATAAACTATAAAAGCCTAATTGCTGGTCGAAAGGTTTCTTGTTCTTATCCATATTTTGACTGGTAAACTTTAATGTAAACATAATAAAAATTATAACTAGTGGTCTGAAAAAAAATTGGATCATCTTCATGTACACGTTTAAAATTAAATTAACAGTTATTTTAACAGTATTATAGTACACAACGTGTATTAATTTAAATGTCACTTTTTTTTTTGGTGATAACGTTAGTTTTGTATTTAATCTAGATTTATTTACACGGTAAACACTAATAAGTTTTTTAGATTTTAATTGGTGTACTTAAACATAATATCATTATGGCTCGACTGGTTTTTTTCTAAAAAATCTATTCGATGAACATAAATGTATGTCCACTAAAAAAGCGTTCTCGATTATAATTAATTAGTTAAAAAATTAGTAGTATGTGTACAGAGAAATTATTTCTCTATCACAACAAAAAAACTAATTATGCCAGTTCATTTTTTGAATTTAATTGAAAGATAAAACTGTATTTGTTTTGAAGTATATAAGTTTTGACAGTTTAGATACATTACAAAAAAAAAAATAAATATATATATATATACTAGATATAGTAACTATTTACAGTGAATAACAAAAAAAAAAAAAAAATACAAAATATATTTCAGGTGGTTTCAGTTTTGTCAAAACCTACTAGGTATTTTAGCCAACTTTCCCAACTCCTACAGCTTATTTGATATTCATCTAGACGGCTCAGACTCGACTGTCTCCATTAACCGTCCATTTATGTTTTTATGACTAATTAGGGATACAATTTTCTATCAAATCGTACCTTTCTTTTTCCTCTTCATTTATCACCGAAAGTCTATAGCTATTGCACACACGCTTGTCTTGTTGCCGTTTTTCAGACTCGTTTAAAACCCTATACTATAGGACATAATAAAGTTTCCTTTCTATTGTGAAATTTATAACAACATAATACGGTTTTAGCTTCGATGCGGAGTTGAGAAGGAATTGTTTTTTTACATTAATGTGTTTTTATTTTTGTCTACAGGTTAGAAATCGTACATTGTAACGTACTTTATTGGGCTAAAATAAAATAAAATTCACCTCTTTCAGTTATAATAATTATTCTTAAAAAAAACTTGTGACTTCTCCGTCTAAGCTGTGCTCCGGCCCTACTATGCTGTT